AGCATATTGCCCCCCAACAGTCTGGGTCCTCATTTTACCGACCTCGGAAGGATGGAAGGCTGAGTCAAACTTGGTTGAGCCGATGAGACTCGAACTGCATTCTAACCACCGCGCCACCATGGCTCTATAGCACGGCAACACAGTCCTGCCTTGTCCTGCTGAGCCTCACATTTTCTTCCTTGGGTTAAATGTGATAATGAAATATAATATTTGTAATATAAATTTAAATTTCCTAATTTACTATTTTTCCAGCTGCTAATTTTTTAAATCATAGAAGGGAAGAATAGTTTATTTTGGGAAAAATACTTACTGAGACTTAATAATATAAGCTTATATCTAGATAAAATGTCACTTGGGTACCACTGTCCAAATTTAACCTTTTAATTAAACTTCCAATTCGTTTTTCTCTCTCTCTTTTTCTTAATTTTCCTTATACTGAACTGATATATCTTTTTTTTTTTAAGTCAACAAAATCGAGCCTTAGGACAAAAAGGTCATGCCAAATGCCAACTTTGGAAAAGAGAGCAGAACCAGTACAAGATACAGTAGTGACTGAGCAGTCTCCATCATCTCTCGATATGGCTTTAGAAAAAAAAAATATAGAAAATATCTGTAACACAAATCAAGTTTCCCTGGACAAGGGTAAGATGCTGATGCAATAGTTATAAAAACTGACACTGCAACATTTTTGAATTGTTCTTTATTAATTGCTTCAAGGAAACTATGTAGTAAATTTAATAACACTTTCCTCTGCTTTACTGCTTGGACAACTGAGTTTTCAACAGGTGAGTGACCTGATTTTAAAATGAGGAAGGCTGTCGAGTGGTACGTTGGAGATGGCAATAAGACATTGCAGTGGAAATAGATACTTGAGGAGGGGTTATTTTCTTTTATTACTAAATCGTTTTCCAATATTCTTGCAAGGCAGGTTGAGTTGACAGAAAAATCATATTACATCAGCCAGTGAGCTCCATGATTTGATGTCAGAATATTTCCAGGGCCAAGAATCACTCAAAAATTGTATTATATTTAGGAATTATTGCAAAAGTCTTACTTGTATATGTGTATCCATAACACTTTGTGATTGATCCTAGGTTTACATACGCAGGCATATCACTTGATTTATTTAAATTCATTGTTGTGTGCTTGATAACAAGCAGTTGAATATATGAGTTCATTCTATAGGGAAAAAAAGTAATGTGGAGTTGAAAAATGGGGTCATAGTGAAGAATCATATCTGTAATGAACTAATTATGGTATAATAACCTAATTAAAATTCTCTATGGATTAGTCTGGAAGTTGAATCGTGGCAATTGGACTTCACCGCAGATTGAAGAAGCCTCATGGATAAGGAGCAAAAAATTTCAAATCAAAAAGAAAAAGAAATCCAGTTGCCATGACTCAACTTACAGCCATATCTACCCAGATGACTGAGAATCTTCATCGACATGCATGGATTAGCTTTTGTTCATTAAAGTTGTTTTGCAAATTTAAAAACAAATCCCGCTGATTTTCAAAAAATATTCCTTTCCCATTTAAGATTGCAGACAGCCAATATTATTTTTCTATCTTTTTCCTTCTAGGCAGCCACACCTTCCTATCTGTGCCATTGTGAAAATTTACAGTGATGGCCCAGAAACAGTTAGTAGCACAGCACAAATGTTATATTCCTTAACATCACAGCTCTTTCAGTGTAAGATAATACACTGTTTTTCTTGTTTTCCAAGGAAATCCGAAACAGTTGACATAAAATATAAACACCTGCATTACAGGGATTATGAAAATCAAATCTTTCAGAATGGAATTTCCTTCTGAACATTGATAAAGATTTGCACAATTACACAAAGTGCATATAAATAAAGAATTTCTGTGCTTTCAGAAGAAAAGACAAAAAAACTAAAAATAAATTATTCTTGTAAACTTTTATATATACAGTACTAAAAAAAAAAAGCAAACAGAAGAGTGAAACTCTTCAATGTTTTTAATGCTATTGTATTCAGTATTGCTTTGGAGCAGATTTTAGTTTTAAAAAATTAAAAGCCCAAGTGGCTAGTTTGCTATGCAGTTTCTGGATATTAAAACAGTTGCTTAATGAACAGTTGCTCTCCTGTTTTTAAGTCAAATTTGATACTGGTTAACTAATAGGCATTCTGACCGCTCTCAGGATAGTCTATCTCAATCAAGGGAATAAAAAATATAATATGAAAAGCTGCCAATTATTCATAACATGGTGAACAAGAAAGTGAAAAGTAGAGATAAGAAGTAAGAGCATTGTAGCAATTAGAAATATATTTCTCTGTATCTTGTATGCCATCAACAATCTTTATCAACTTCTCTTTTATTATATTTATATCACACCTTTTATTCAGAAGCTCAAGGATGATGATGATTATGATAATAATAATAATAATATTAATAATAATAATAATAATAATAATAATAATAATAATAATAATAATAATGATGATGATGATGTTGGATGGGACCTTGGAGATCTTCTAGTCAAACCCCCTGCTCAGGCAGGAAACCCTATACCATTTCAGACAAATAGTTGTCCAGTCTCTTCTTAAAAATTTCCAGTGTTAGAGCATTCACAACTTCTAGAGGCAGGTTGTTCCACTGATTAATTGTTCTGTCAGGAAATTTTTCCTTAGTTCTAGGTTGCTTCTTTCTTTGATTAATTTCTCCCCATTGCTTCTTGTCCTGCCCTCAGGTGCTTTGGGGAATAGCTTGACTTCCTCTTCTTTGTGGCAGCCCCTGAGATATTGGAACACTGCTATCATGTCACCCCTCGTCCTTCTCTTCATTAAACTTGACATATCGAATTCCAATAACCATTCTTTATATGTTTAGCCTCCAGTCCCCTGATCATCTTTGTTGCTCTTCTCTGTACTCTTTCTAGAGTCCCAACATCTTTTTTACATCGTGGTGACCAAAACTGAATGTAGTATTCCAAGTATGGCCTTACCAAGGCATTATAAAGTATTAACACTCTGCACACTTCCCTTCATGTAGATCCGGTTCCATTGAGGACCACATGCTGAGTATGGCTGGTCAGCCAGCTACAAATCCAACTGGTGGTGATGCTGTCTAACCGACATTTTTCTATCTTATCAAGTAGTAGATTGTGGTTTACTTTATCAAATGCCTTACTGAAGTCCAAGTAAATTATATCCACAGCATTCCTCTGGTCCACTAATTTTGTCACCTGGTCAAAGAATGCAGTAAGATTTGTGGGGCATGATCTGTTTTTGACAAACCCACGTTGGCTTTTAGTTATGACTTTGTTTGCCTCTAGGTGTTTGCTGATTCCAGAATCTTCCCAGGTCTGTAGTTTCCTGGATTCATCTTTTTTCCTTTTTTAAAAATGGGAACTACATCAGCTCTTTTCCAATCCTCTGGTAGTTCTCCAGTGCTCCAGGATCTTTGAAAGTTATAGTTCAGTGGTTCTGAGATCACATCTGCCAGTTCCTTCAGAACCTTGAAGTGTAATCCATCTGGTCCTGGTAATTTGAACTCATCTAGGGTGGACAGATGCTCACTTACCATTTTCTTGCCTATCTTAACGTGTTTCTAATCTGTTTTTTATGGTACTGTTTTTGATTGGTTGGATTGTTTTTTGCCTTTGGGTAAAGACTGATGCAAACAACAAGCTAAGTAGTTCTGCTTTCTCCCTGTTGCTTGTCACCTTCTTGCCACTTTCTCCCACTAATGGACCAATCATTTCCTTAACTTTTTTCTTGTTTTTACATGTTGAAAGAAGCTTTTATTTTTACTTTTTTTGCAAGCCTTAGTTCATTCCTCACTCCATCTTTGCAGGTTCAGGCTATTTGCTGATATTCTGGCTTAGTTATGTGCCCCTTTCCACTTTTTATACTTGTCCTTTTTGTCTTTCAATTTATCAGAGAGTTCTTTATGCAGCCATGCTGGTTTCTTTTGAGAGCTGTTATTTTCTTCTTTGTTGGTATTGTGCTAGACTTGGCTTTTAAAATCTCACTTTTCAAAATTTCCCAAGCTTCTTGAGTTGTTTTTCCCTTGAGGATTCTCATCCATGGAATCCTTCCCAAGCGCTCTCTAAGTTTATTGAAAGTCCAAGACTGTAGTTTGACTATATTCTATTGTTTGTGCTTGCATAATATTGAATTCCAATATTGCATGATCACCCCCCTCCAAGGTTCCTGTAGGTTTAACACCTTCTATTCATCTCTGTTAGTGAGAATTAAGTCCAATATGGCTGATCCCCTAGTTCTCTTCTCTACCTTTTGGGAGACAAAGTTGTCTGTTAAGTTTGTCAGGAATCTGCTTGATCTTCCAGTTGGTGCAGAGTTTGTCTCCCAGTTGGGTAATTAAATAGGGGTATTAAAATCCCTATTACTATTGTGATCTATGTTACATGCCCTGATATCCCTCTCTATAATCTCCCCTCTCCCATTTATTTTTCGTTTGAAAAATGAAGTAGATTGAGGTTACAGAAATTGTTTAGGCCAACATTGCCCAGAAGCATTCATGGTCAAAAGTGGGCCTGGATCTCCCTGTTGCCAGATGAAGCCTTTAACCACTATACCATATGGAGTTTTACTTACTGTTTATTTACAATATACAGTATAATCCATTGCCCTAAAACATATTTATGTCATTGGATGACCGGTATAGCTAAAGGTAGTGAGCACGTCATAGTAGTTCATCTTCAAGGTTATAAAAGCATCAACAATAATGACTAAATACAACCTTTGAAAAATATTTTCAATTCTTTTGGTAAATAAAACTGAGGAAAAAGATTTCTAGTTTTCAGTTTTTGTAAGGAGGTTCCTCTTGGGGCTCTCTGAGTTGAAAGATTTCCACAATCATTGTCGTCAACACCATCCCACCCAAAGTCAAGAAGACTCAGAAAATTGTCACTTATTCTGCTCTCTCAACAGAGGTTGAATGTTGTCAATGCTAAATCTCATCTGTCACCCAAATTACATATGTTGAGTTTATTAACTAAGAATTGCACAATCCCATCACAGAAATCAAGCAACTTAGATGGAAAAATGAGGCGAGTCAAAATTTGTTCATATAACTCAATGCTGAGATAAATAATATTTTCATAGTCAGAACAGACTATGACAAATACTTAGTCAAATGTACAAAAAAGGTAGGAAATGGGGAAAAGACCAAGCCTTTTAGTTCCTTTTTAACTAGCTTTGACTCCTTCCTGGAGAGTATATGGCATTCTAAAGATTCTAGTCCCAGACAAATGCTTTTGAAATAAATGCTGAAATAATGCAAAAAAGAAAACAAACATCCTTGTGTCCATTACCATTCAAGTTGTGGAGGGAATTGTGGAGATACAGAGTAATGCAAAGGAGGTGCAGAATATGTATTTGTCTCCATCATGAATTGATCTATAATCCTGAGATAATATGCACTGCTTTATGTTAGATTTGTTCCAGTTATGAACAGAAATTCTTTAAATTGGCAGCATAGAAAATGTATAAACATATCTACTCTAGCAGGTGTGCAGTGTCATTACAAAAAGGAAATTGGTGGCAAAGAAAGAAATAAAACAAATGAATATTGTATATCATTTGTCAGCTTTTTTATGTCATGTTAAAGCCTTCATTAAAATGTGAGGCTGCAATTAGAGGCTCCAGCATAAATCTGACTCTGCAGTGAAAGTAATTAGACATTTAGGTGATCATTCTTGTATTTATCATGTTTGCTGCACTACCATGATTACACAGTAATTTACATATTTTCCTAAGAAGCTGCACAAAATTATTCATTACAATTGATATGAAAACATTTGATATCCTCTCCCGACTCCCCATAGAAGAATTTCAACATTTCTTGTGACTCAGAGCTAATAAGATTTTTGTTTGGTCTAGATCATGCATCACTTTCATTTGTAAACAAGTATCAGTGCTACAATGCCCACATTTTACATGAATTTTGAACTGTGCAATAATTGGTGTGAAATACGGTTCCGCAAAATCATTAGAATTTTTTTCCCCACTTGTTTGCATTTTAGTCAAATTTAAATTTTTATCTACTTCTTCAAAAAATATCTAGCTGAACAAAATCTATCCTTCCCAGGATTTTTCCACTTTGTCTTGGATGGGCGACGTCATACGTCGCCAAGAGTATTGTTATCACCCTTCCTCAATTGTATTTGTGATTGGTTCAGGGTTTGCCCAGTTCCAATGCTGTGATCAATGTCATGAGACCAAAAACAGCACCTTGTTTGCATAGTGAAATTTTTTTTTTGTAAATTAGAAGGAACCTAGAAAGCATATTAAATATGGTACTCTTGGAACCCCATTGCACAATCCTCCTTTCTCTGCACAAAGGAATAAGATAGATAACCTTTATTGTCATTTTTTACTACAGCCCATATTAAAAATGAAATTCTGTTGCTTGTTCTCAAAAGAAAATATATATCTACCCATACACATGCATAGCACACATATACACATACTATATACATACACACACACTCTCTCTCTCTCTCCTCCCAGAAGATAACAAGGAAAATAGACATAATCCTACTCAGGAGACAGACAAATCTAAAGAAATATTTAAGAGCAGAGATATCGCAATGACAAAGGTACCTATTGTCTGGGCCAAGGTTTTCCAAGATGTAATGTATTAACATGAAAGTGGAACCATCCATCTAAAATGTGGAAAATTTAGTTGCTAAATGGTGGTGCTAGAGAAGACTGTTGAGAATACTTTGGAAGTCAGAAAGAACAAATTATTCAATGTTGGACAAAGTAAAGTCAGACTGCTCATTGGAAGCTCTAATAGTGAAGCTTTAGCATATATTTTGAGCAAATATATTAGCATATATTTTGAGCACGCAGCAAGAACCTTGGGAGAAAACCTTGATCCATGGAAAAAAATAGATGACAATAAAAAAGGGACAGAAGACACAAGGGCTGGATCGCTGATGATAGAAAACATAACAAGAATGTACAAAAAACAGTTACTGAAAATCCTACCAAGATGATTGCTATCAAATCATGATGAGTCAGAAGCAAAAGAACAACAACGTTTCAGCTAGAAGTTGAAAATACCTTTATAATACATGGGTGGCGCGGTGAGTCAGCGGTTAAAATGCTGGGCTTGTCAGCTGGAAAGCTGACAGCCCGGGTTCAAGACACAAGTGCCATGCGACAGGGTGAGCTCCCGTTACTTGCCCCAGCAAATTCAAGTAGATAAATAGGTGCCACTTTGGTGGGAAGGTAACAGCGCTGCACGATGTCATACCGGCCACATGACCGCAAAAATGTATTCAGACAACACACTGACTCAATGGCCTTGAAATGGAGATGAACACTGCCCCCTATAGCCAAAACCCACTAGTAGAGTAAAATTTGTGGGGACTACTTTATCTTTTTTTTACATATATACACAGATAAAACAGTTTTATTTTTCGTATTTGTCTGCTGTTAATAATGAAATAGATTAATCTTGAGACCTTTTTTTAAGTTGTTGGTCATATTATTGGTTTCTGAAGGTGTTCCAGGTTCTGGCAACCAAGACATATGGTGTTACCTTTAATGAAACAACTGAATAATGCATATTTGAGCAGGCCTTGATGTTATTTCACATTTTCCTTAATCATGTTATCATTTTCCCTAATGGAATTTCAAACAATAAAATATAATTTAGTAATGAAAGGGTTAAAAAATTGCTTCTGGCTGATCTGGTAGCCATTATTTAAATCCATATCAGAGGCTTTTTGTTTGTTCTAAAATAAAAAGATTAGTATTGCCTGATCACAGGGGAAGCTGGTAAAATGGATATATTCATGTGTTTTTTTCCTCCAGCCCAGAGCTATAAAATTGATATTCAAGTATAAATTAAACATGAGCTGAAAATAAAAGAAGTCCTCTTCTCCTTTGGAGAAGAAGGGTAACATTCACTTTTTAAGAAATGTGATACTAATTAATTCAGTCACATTTCAGCATAACTAAGAAACAGAATACAGTGGGGATGTGTAGATGAAGGGATGTGATTAAACAGATAGGAACAAGCTTAAATCATTTCTAAGAATGATTGTTTCTATTGTTGCAACAATGAATCCCCTAAAATGGATTTAGGGAAGACTTCATAAGATACACATTGTAGAGACTATTTTGCTGTTTGTTGTTTACATTATACTTTATTGATACACATTGTAGTATAACCAGATACATCCTTGTATTTTATCCCGAAGAATGTCTGACATTCTTGTACAATGGAGAACAATATTCCTCATTAGGGATGTGTTTACTAGCACTCCCACACCGATTAGTGTTTTAGGATGTAAAGTAGTTCTGTGACCACATCTTAAAAAGATTTATAACATAAAAGGGTCTAGGCCCTTGCAATAAACTGGAAGACACACACTGCCTGTAGAAAGTGGAGGAATGTCATTGGTAGATAATAAATTACAGTTAAAGCTTGTACTTCTATTCTACTGAAAACACCTGCAATGTTGTGATCAACAATCTTGCAGTGCAACATGATCTATCAAAATAAACACCAAAATGCTACATTAAGAGAGGACGTCGTGCCTAATATTTCTCCAAAATCATCTGTATGCTGTATTGAAATTAAAATATGTGTGTCTAACTATAAATAATTTATCCTGAAATCTTTTGAGAAGAGAGGATAAAAAATTATAACACTGAGGACAGGACCAGTAAAGTGGAGAATGCAATAGACTGGTACTATTGTAAAGAAGCATTCCTCATTGATAGGCCATATAATTTTTCAACATACTACAAACTAAGTCCCCAGTATGTCCATGTAACCAGGACCTTATTCAGCAGAAGGTCTCCCAATATGTAGTGCAAAACAGATGAATTAAAGGTCTATGTAAGACTGCTCATTTTGTTCTATCATGAGAAGTTAGAATTATTACTTATTTACTTAGTTTATTTATTTATCTGGTTTTTCCCAGGAGCCCAAGGCTGTTCATAATGACAATTTCTATTTATTTTATTTTCCACCAAAACAATCCTTTCTATATTGTGTTTTTTATGTTTATATATTCTAGATGTTAAATGGAGGGAGTATGCTTGGTTTATTGTTTGATTTTATTCTGTACTCCAGTCAAAGTCACATTGCTTGAGCTGAGCGATCTTGTGAATGAACGAACGAACGAACGAAGAGCAAGCTGTAACTTGTTCAGCTTACTGATTGGCCCAATGTCTCTCAGTGAATTCCATAGTTAATTAATTGAATCTGGAATTTCACGATCCTTGTCCAACACATGAATTACTACATCATACCATTTTTTAAATATTTGTGATTTTTGACAATTTCTATCTACTTTTTCATATTTGTGGTATGAATTGTTGTTGTTTTTTCCTGACGAGATATACAGAAATCATTAATATGCATTGTTCAACTTTTCGTGTTTGCAGATGAATGGATATTTCCTGACAAAGAAAACTCTCAACTGGAATCCAGCAATCCTCTGCCGATAGCCTATGAAACATTCCATGATGTTTCAGCCTCTGCCCAAAGTGATGACCAAATATATGAAAGCAAAGAAGCAGCCGAAGTGCCTGAGGATATTTTCACCTACTCCTCAAAACCTCGATCAGCACCTCATGGGAAGCCCTTGAGTCTTTCTTCAGAAGATTGCACTTTTTCTTTGGATTTGAAGGAAGAAATTAGCAAGGACTGGCGAGGAGCTCAAATGGAAGATGATTTCTATGGAAATGAGAGCAATGGAGAGGTAACTTTAAAGGCTTGCTGTTGTTTTGCTGTATTCCCACCGGCAGTACACCTGGCATCCCTCCTCATATATGGATATGTGTTAAAAACTGATGTGATAGAGCTAGAAAAAGAGTCTTCAGAAGAAAGTTGAATTGTCAATTAGAAAAGTTACTATTTTGTAGTGGTTAGGGCAGGGGATTCGGTTCAAGTCAACCAAGGCCCTAGTCCACAGTTAGTTTTGGAAGGTAAACTGGAAAGCTTTAGCTAAGAGACAATCACAGTCTCTTAGCCCATCTTACCTCAAAGGGCTGTTTTGTGAAACAAAACCTGAAGAAAGGAGTATCATATTGAAATTTGAACTTTCAGAAAGAAAAGCAATCTAGAAAAAAAAACTTTGTTACCTATGAGCAATGTATATTAAGGAAGTTGCATAGGAAGATGGTAAAATTGGAGGAAGAAACTTCAACAATCCACTATGCTGACGATGCTACCCTGATAGCCAAAAATTGCAAAGAATCTGCAAGCTCTAATAGTAAATGTCAAAAAACACAGTGGGGAAAAAGGGGACTACAATTAAATGTAAAGATGAGCAAACTAACAACAGCAGATAGAACAACTAGCCTAAAAATTGACAATGAAGATATTGAAATAGTAGATAGCTTCTGCCTTTTAGAATCAGCCATCCACTGTAAAGGAATACAGTCAAGAAATATGCCACAGTCAAGCACTGGGTAGAGCAACTGTGAACGCCTTGGAAAAGATATTCAAATACCATGATGTGTCTCTACCTACAAAGAGGTTTTGCAAGCCATGAATACTCTATGGCAGCAGAAGGTGGACTTTAAAGAAACAGGACAGGAAGAATATTGATGTGTTTGAACTTTGATGTTGGAGAAGACTCCTAAGTATACCATGGACAGCCATGAAAACAAACTGATAAATCATTGAACAACTCAACCTATAATTCTCATTCAAAACATAGATGACCGGGCTTAAATTATTTTACTTCAGACACATTATATGAAGATACAACTCTCTAGAAAAGGCTCTAGTGCTAGGGAAGGCAGATAGAAAGAGAAGAAGGGGATGACCACCAACAAGGTAGATGAATATACCAATGGAAGAAAGAATTAGTGAAACATCATCATGGAGAAAATCTATCCAGTCACTAGGAGTCTCTAAAATGACTTGATGGCACATAATCATAATGACTATTTTTTTTACCTTTCAGTTTAAAAATAAAAAGGCTGAAAATCTCTTTATTTCAATAAATTAATAATTAAATAGAAGAATTTGGCCAATCCTAATAAAATGAGATATAATAATAATAATAATAATAATAATAATAATAATAATAATAATGTTGGAAGGGACCTTGGAGGTCATCTAGTCCAACCCCCTGCTCAGGCAGGAAACCCTATACCATTTCGCAGGGCTTTTTTTCTCGGAGAAAAGGTGGTGGAACTCAAACCTGGCCACGCCCTCATCAAACCCTAGGACCGCCCCTTTAGAGAACAGGAATGCAAGTAAAATTTGGGAGGGGCTATTTCCGGTGTGGGAGGGGCTATTTCCGGTGCGGCCGGCCCGGAAAAAGGTGCCGGAACGCGGTTCCGCCGCGTTCCGGCTGAAAAAAAGCCCTGCCATTTCGGACAAATGGCTGTCCAGTCTCTTCTTAAAAACTTCCAGTGTTGGAGCGTTCACAACTTCTGGAGGCAGGTTGTTCCACTAGTTAATTGTTCTAACTGTCAGGAAGTTTCTCCTTAGTTCTAGGTTGCTTCTCTCCTTGCTTAGTTTCCACCCGTTGCTTCTTGTCCTGCCTTCTGGCGCCTTGGAAAATAGCTTGACACCCTCTTCTTTGTGGCAGCCCCTGAGATATTGGAACACTGCTATCATGTCCCCCCTCGTCCTTCTCTTCATTAAACTAGACATACCCAATTCCAGCAGCCGTTCCTTATATGCTTTAGCCTCAGTCCCCTAATCATCTTTGTTGAAATGAAGTATTTTGTCAATCCTAAGTCTCATCACAGTTTGGCAAATAAACTAGGAAAGTTTTGTTTATTTATTCAATTTATTTGCTGTCCTTCTTGTTTCGAAGCAACTCTGGACAGCTATGAAATTAAATTTAATGAAAAAATACTTCCCTTTTTTTCTGTGAATCAACGGGAAAAAATCACATTAAAAATTTAGAAAAGGCATTAAGTCAATTATGATTGTCTAGGGTAGAGGAAAAGAATTCAATATCACATTAAAGCATGCTGGCTTTAACCCTGGTGTATTGACCAAAACTAATGGCCTGCTTCACATATAGCAATAAGGCATGATTTACAAACCAGAAGGATTGGATTATTCACTGAGATGAAAAAAAGTAAAATAGACCACATTATACATAGTTTATTAAAAGCTTCCTCATTTGGTTTCCACCTTGTAAGAAGGAGCTTCCAACACAACCCAAGGATTTGTTCATATCAGAGTTTATTAAACTGAGATGATAATCTAAATAATATAATTGGAAATAGAAAAGATTTCTTCCAAGGCTTTTTCTTTTTTTTTCAATATAAAATTTTTATTATTTTTCATCATAAAAAAAAAAAATCACAAATACTACACAATGTTATATGAGAAACCCCCCACACACACCCCCCCCGGACTTCCCGGACTTCCAAGGCTTTTTCTATTCTGAAAATTTTGCTTTTTTTATATACCCTTTATATGCAAGAAATACTTTTCTTCATATTCAGAATGTTTCAGTCTCAGAGGAAGTTTTGTTTTATATCATGACAACAGTTTTGATTTTGAAACTGATTTTTCCTATCAGCAAATAAATAATTGAGTAACAATTCCTGCAATAGAAATAAGTCTGGAGTGCGATAGAAATAGACCTTCAATCATCATTGTTTTCAGGCTAGATGTTCATAATTTAAAAATATTAGTTGTGCTTGCTTCATTTTTCATAAATATCCTTTTTTCTTCTTCCTGACAATATCAATGTATAAATTACCACTCAGGCAAGAGAAGAAGGACTGTAGTTTTTCTAGTGTTCTGAGGAGGCTGGAAAACTTATGGTGATGAGCAGTGTTTAAAATAATTCATCTTGTCTTGTTTCCCTATTCTAGGATGATAGTTACATGGACCTCATGCAAGAGAGTCAGAATCTTCCAAATAACTATTTCATATCAGCATTCCCTCAGCCAGTAATATCCAAGGAGATTCTTCCCAAAATGGCGTCCAAGAGTCCTGAAAGCAGGACATACAACTTCTGTACAAAAAAGACTGAAGAAGAAACATCACCACAATGTATTGAAGATTCTGTTGTGATCATGGACAAAGCAAATAAGATTCAAAGAAGCTTGTTGCCCACTTCTTGTTTATCCCCTATCGGAAACCTATCTGAACCCTGTAAGGAAACATCTAGGATCTCAAAAGTTCTCTCCACCAGTGTATTAAGAAGTTCCATAAGTAGAAAATCCCTAAAAGAACTCCATCTGGAGGACTCAAATCCAATAGTTCAAATTCCTGTAAGTATTTTTTATAAATCTTGTTGGAATAAAAAGGATATTTAAGCTTTTGCATCTTTGCATCTGTTAATAACATTAGCATTTTAGAAAGCGCTGCCATGGGATAAAGCAAAGATCAATCATATGGAAGAGGAGGAAAACTGCCAGATTGATCCATGATACAAGGATTAATTAATTATACATTTTAAAAAAGACAAGATATATCCATGGCAAATAGGACTACTAATTAGGATCAAGAATGGTTAGCAATGTAAGTACATAGTCTCCCAGGTACACTAAATCTGGCTGGAGGATAAATGTAAGTAAGTAGACCTTGGACTGAAAATACAATGTTTTTTATAGCAAAGAGGCAATTCTGTTTTAAGATAATCAAACTTAAAACTTGTTTATCTGCCAGAGTTTGTCAGTCTGTATGCCAGGATTTGTCAGAGGCTGACAAAGGCTTGTTTGGGATAATGAAACATTTTCTACAAAAACAACTTATTTCCAATCTGTCCGATTGGAATTTGCCATTTCTTAAGTTAATGACTGAAAGAAGAGGGCAGAAAAATTAATGAATTCTTATTAACCAGTTTTAAATATGGCTGGTATATCTACAGAAAGTTTCTAGCAGCTAGAGGAAAGGAAGTTTCTTGAAACAAACTGAAGAATTTTGTTCATTTTTACAATGAAAGTTGTTTCCACACTTGTACCCTGCTTATGGATTTCCTCTGGCTATTAGGTTAGCCGTAATATAAATGATGGGAAAGATTGCACTTTAGTGTGATGTAGGACATTTCTCCTCATGCACCTGATCTATTTCATTTATTGTTTTTCTTTTTAATTGAAACCCTTAGAGATTAACATTTACCTTTAGCGCCATCCTAAAGTCTTAACGGAACTGGGATATCAGGTCAATAATTACACGCCATAGTAACATTTCCCTTGGAAAATATTTTTGCAAACATGAAAGAAAAGTTATTTGCTCTCTGATTGAATTCCACATAAGATTTTTTTTTCTTTTCCCAATTGTTAGACTAGTAGGAGGCATATAATTTGACAGACTGATTGCCTCTCTGGAATACCAAATTTGGTTTTTGTGTTTGTAGCACTTGAGGGGTGTCTGCCCTACAAGCATGATTGCATGTTTTTCAGCTAAGCCAATAGGGATTGGAAATGAGTGACTGCTACAATACAAATCTAGCAACCACATGCATTAAAAATAGGCAAGTTAATTCAACTGTTGGCTCATAGCATTTTTTTTTTCTTATGGGCCTCTCCGGAATGAATAGCATTTTTCAAGCAACTTCTACTTGTTAATAATTTATACAAAGAGGTGAGCAAAATACCAGCCCCATAGATTTTTGTTCTTTATGTGAAATGTTTAAACCTTTGTTTGAATGTTTTCTCTTTTGAGCAAAAGAAAGAAGAAAGACCAGCAGGAGTGTGCCAAACACGCCCCTTTTGCAATAGCTCTCACAAGCCTTTCATATGTTTTGATGGACAGCTGCTTAGACTTCTCAAGTAGGGAGAGCACTTACTGGCATGGATAATCCCCAGGGTCTGGTTGAGTTTCAGCTCTTTTGTCCTGATTTTTTTTAAAGTCGGTATTTAATTCCTCTTCCAATCGCTATCAAACTGGATTTCTTGGGGGGGGTGGGGGTGGGAAGAGAAAGAATTACATTTCATTATCAATGGCAACGGTTCAAACATCTACGCAGGGTAAAAGGCAAGCTTATTGTAGTTTTAAGAGCTGCTGAAGTCGGTACATTACCAAGTCAGTTTAAAGGAAAGGAAAAATGACAGAATTTCAATAGTAATCTGTGGGTGAACCCCTTAGATCATTCGTCCTTGCACTTCAGAACATTGCTGCAGCCAGCCCTCTCCCCCCCAGATAGTAAATGAAGTGATTGAAGGATAACAGTAAGGAAGTGTTGTAGTCCAATTCCCCAAGCCATTCGGGTGGGGGATTGTATTCATGTCTATCAATGTAATTCTTCTTCTCCTGGTTTTATTACCCAACATATATTCTTAACAGCCACCATGAACAACTTACAGTAATTCATAATTTTATATTTTTATTATCTGATATCTAGATTTCCCTTTTTCAAGTGATAGCTTAATTAGTCAGCGGTGACTAGGAACTTTATAGAATTTTTAAATGGTTTGCGTTCTGAGAATACTAACTGTCAGATTTTTATGATATTTTCCTGTCTAGAACATACAGTATTGTAATAGCTCCTGACTCTCCTGTTCCATTTCTATCTGGCGATATCTTTTGGTGCCAAGAAGTCAAGGCATTGAAGTTTTGATTCTACAAGCATCCCAAATAGAGGCCTAATTTTATCAGTCATTTCCATTATTCTCTAGATCCTTGTTTTGAGTCTTTAACCCAGAGGTCCCCAACCTTTTGGGCACCAGGGACCCATTATGTGGTTTTGTGTGCTGCCTGTATCCCACGGATGGGGCTTTGCTTGTTTGTGCGCCCGGTTGCTAGCATGCTGCGGCCCGGTACCGGTCCACAGACCAGGGGTTGCGGACCCCTGCTTTAACAGACACTTGCCATCGAAGTCCATCTGCATATGGTGACACTCTTACAGCTAACAAATATTTATTTTATATTTATTTTGGAAAATAAACATGCCTTCCATCCTTTACATTCTAGGCAGTTCCACATAAACACAGTGAAAACATCTTGGAAAATACAAAATATGGAACAATAAATGTAAACATAAAAACTGTAAAATAAGTTCCGAATAAATAAATTTATTTCTGTATTATCCTAAATTATAATAAGGAGGTTTACTTCAACTCCAGGAAGTTTGTTCCATAATCGGTTCCTTTAAATGGCCAAAGCTGAAATTATCAGACATGTTACACAACTGCAGTATTCTTTTTTTTCCCATGGACAAACCAGTTGACCAGATTTGAACCAATAGTGGGATTAGAATGACCTGTAGTACTTTTTTGCAACAATCAGTATCCAAGGAAAGCTCCAATAAAGCAGTTGACTATTGGTTAGGAATCTCTTTTGAGAAAGATGGACTGAACCTATGCAAACATATCTTGATCTGTTAAAATTACAAATGGACTGGATCAAAGCAGTTTGAAAATCACATATTTTAAGCCAAAACAAATTAGTCTTCTTAACATGAATAGGTTTTGAGATTTCAGAGCCCAATAATGAACCTGTTAGTAATTATTAGTATATTACCATTCTTTTTTTTAAAAAAAAAAAAGACAGTAAAAAATAGAATTATTTTATTCATAAAAGTTCCTGTTAGCCTGGAGGATTGACCAGACAGTTGCAGTTTACAAGCATTGTTATATCTCCTCTACTATCTCCCTCCTCTTTTAGTACTAGAGCAGGGGTGTCCAACTGGCGGCCCACGGGCTGGATGTGTCACACATAGGCACGCCCACCCCAACTCCACAAAGGCAAAAAACATCATGATACATCACAATACATCACATGACAAAATCGAGTTTGACACCCGTGTACTAGAGGAAAGTGTGAAAAGTATGTGTGTGGGGGGGAGGAGAGAGTTATTTCCATCATTGGCTTTTGCAGCAAAGCTCATATGGACTAGGACCTTCAAAAGAAAAACTCCTTCCTAATCCCCTCCTGTATTATGACTGCCAAAAATGCTCAAAGAACTCTTAATAAAATTTATTTGCTCACTACTTAGTAAAATTTAAGGACTTGCATACTTGCAATGTTTTATTCATGTTTTAATAGAGTCCTCTATTATTAAGTTCAAATATTTTTAATTAAGAAAGAAGTGCAGTCCTCTGGGTAATATTGCAACCAAGTAGATAGCTTGGGTAATTAAACTTTCCTGCACATGCAACTAAATTTAAACAAATCTGAATAAATCATTTGAACATGGGAGAATGCAAATGTCATTATGTGCATCTCTAAACTGGAAAAAATATCTTTGATAACAGGTTTTGACAGTCTGTTGAATGTTTAAGAGCTTGATAAAATGCTTCTTATCGTAAGAACAGAGAGAGTTAGAGAACATAAGCTTTTAATTGTCAGCTAAAATATTGCATTCAGAAGAACCATGAATGTCACATGGAATTACATTTTGCATTAAATGTCCCATTACAAATAAGAAATGACTTCAGTTTAAAAAAAATTTTAGTTCCCAATGTCTATTTGGCTATTACAAACAATGCAAATATAAACCAGAAATATTTTTTTTTAAATGGTCAGAAATCTTGTTTGTAGGTACCATTTCTAAGAAATTGTCCATTTCAGAAACTGAAGGCATTTCCTTAAAACTATTATTAGATTACAGTCCAAATCTTGGGTAGGGCAAAGTTTCTATTTCTGGGGGGGGGGCAGTTGCTTTGTTTCTTCTAGCTAAGGCCTCTGCGTTCCATTTCCCTGTTCGCACTTTCTCTGTACACTTTCGTACAACCATTAAAAATGTTAAAAGATCTGCCCAAATTCTGTCCTCCAAAAGCACATAGGTCGCCTTGAGCTGGTTTAAAGTTATTCGAATCCTAGTGATGTATGGTGTCTACATCACATTGCCATTTTTTACTTGATATTATTTATGTTATCTCACAAAATAAAAATAAAAAACTGAGTTTCATAAGAGGAGTCTCAAAGCTATCATTCACAGTGTATCAAGGTAGCTTTTAAGACTGAACTTTATATTTACAATGTGTTTTGTTTTTTAAAAAACAATGGAACTTTGTGAATATAACCATACACTTTTCTTAGTAACAATACAGGATGTTTTTATAGTTTCCCAGGGTAGCCAATGGTCCCAAAATTATCTAGTTATCACCTATCCTAGTAGTAACCAAGTCTTAAAAGTGTAACAGAATAGAATTGCAGAACAATAGAGTTGGAAGGGATATTGGAAGCTTTCTAGTCCAACCCCCTGCTCAGGCAGGAAACCCTATACCATTTCGGACAAATGGCTGTCCAGTCTCTTCTTAAAAACTTCCAGTGCTGGAGCATTCACCACTTCTGGAGGCAGGTTGTTCCACTGGTTAATTGTTCTAACTGTCAGGAAGTTTCTCCTTAGTTCTAGGTTGCTTCTCTCTTTGGTTAGTTTTCATCCATTGCTTCTTGTCCTGCCTTCAGGCGCTTTGGAGAATAGCTTGACTCCCTCTTCTTTGTGGCAGCCCCTGAGATATTGGGACACTGCTATCATGTCCCCCCTCGTCCTTCTCTTCATTAGACTAGACATACCAAATCCCAACAACCTTTCTTTATATGTTTTAGCCTCCAGTCCCCCTTTTGGAAAGATAAGTACTTTTCCAGGACACCTGATTGTAAAGATTTGGGGGAGAGAGAATTCATGCAAATCTAGGTATTCTAGAACAGAATTACTGCATAAGAGAAATCTGCAGATCTTTAAAGTCAAATCCCCTTGCTTGGCTTTACAAATCCATGACACAATGACTTTTTGGGCACTTCAAATTTCACTAGAAGAAATACCGGCCAACCTATAATAGGCGCATTTCTCTATTCTTTCAATGTATTATTTTCATTGTATTATTTCAGTTTAAATATTGTGGTTAAACATGTTGAATGCACGTTGTTATTTATGAACAAAAGGACTCCCCGTATGAGCTCACATTTGGTTTCCTTAAGAACAGAGCACACTTAGGGAATTTCTTAAATTCTTTGCCATTCCCCCTACTCAACCTACTCCTTTTTAAAGATATAAACCATTATTGGTTCTAAATCTATAAAGATCAAAGAGTGTTGCTATTCATGTGCAGAATGCCCTGCTTTGTGGTGCTGGAGAGGAAAGAAAGAAGGCTTTTATTCAAATAGCTTCTATAAATGATCTATTTGAATTGCCAAAAGCATATCACTGAAAACTGAGACTTGCCTAATACACACCTACTTTTTTAAAAATGATATTTTTGAAGGTAAAATACCATTTTCTTAAAAGGAAACTGCCCTTTTTTAAAGTTCCAAAACAGCAATTGCTATATTCTCATTTAAAGAGCAGTGTAAACAGTACAGAACATAACAGCTATTAGTTGGTACTATTAAATTTGGAAGAAGGTAGTGTTTTCTCATCATTTGTACAGGTAACTCCTGGCTTTGAAATAGACCCCACTATGTCTTTCCGATAGATTTGCAAGCTTTAAGGAAGCAAGATTTACTCCAGAGTCTCTTTAACCAGGTTTAAAGATGGGAAGAAAAGGTTAGATAATAGAATCATGCCCCCCCCCCCCCCAGGATCCGAATGATCCTTACTCTGCTCTTGTTCAAAGAGCTGTAAAGACTTGGCTCTTCACTGAGGCCTTTGGCAAGAGAGAATTAAAGTTATTCAAGGCTATTCAACATTTTTAAGAAACTGCTAGAAAGGGTCATCTATTGATTTGGGTTGAGCATAGTGATTATGTTTTATTGTACATCACCAGCCCAGGTTGGACCAGTAACTTCTGTGAAAGCTTTGAACCACTGCCTGAAGGCTATAAACAAAAGTAACAAGGTGGAAATGCTGTTGCATCTATTAACTTTAGGACCAATGTCTCAAAAGTGCTTTTTAAAAGGCAACTGGGCTTTCTTAGTTTTTTTTCCTTGAAAGCGTTTCACTTCTCATCCAAGAAACTTCTTCAGTTCTGAAATTTCCTAGATGAGAAGCGAAACATTTTTGAGGGGAAAAAAATAAGAAGGTCCAGTGCCTTTTGTAAAGCACATTTGGGACAACCATGACCTGGATGATTGAGGCCATAGCCAGGGGTTTTCGTTCAGTATACCATATTACAGCCCTACTGGGATTGAGAAACCTTGGCATCTCCTTGGTGGATCACCACATAATTGTCCTATAGCAAAGGGGCTATCCTTGAAGCAAACTCAGAAACTGCAACTAGTATAGAAGGCAGCAATTAGACCTACCCAGGAAATCTATTTTAAGTTGTGTTATGCACATTTTGCAATCACTGCACTAGCTTGTCTTTTGGGCTCAGTTCTGAGTGCTGGATATTAGCTGTAAAATCCCTATATAGAATCACATCAAAGACTGCCTAGCGAATGTCCCATTCCATTCAATCAACAATGGAGAAAGTGGCACTCGCAAATGAAGTAAGTGTGCAACAGACTTTTCTCATAGCAGCCTTTGAACTGTGGACCACTTTACCTCAGGAGAACGCATAGCCCATACCCTATAAATTTTTTGAAAGCATTAAAGATCATCCTCTTCCAGCAGGATTTTGATCAAAGATTAAGATTTCAAGCAGTAATCTAGTTTTCCATATGCTTATCAGGTTTTTGTTTTTAATGGCTTCTTAATGCTTTATGCATTACCCAGAGCCTATAGTCTCTGCAGTGAAGCAGATTAAAATGTTAATAAATAAATAAATTAGCAGCAGTTTATGAATATTAATAATTTTTGAGTCAAACCATTGGGTCTGGCGTATATAAACCAATAGTCTGCTGTTAGCGGGGGTTTCTTTTATGATCTCAGATGGAAGCCTTTTTCCAGCCATATCCTACCCAGGCATTATGCATTATGCATAAAATACATCTTCTTTATCTAAGCTGTGGGACCTCTCTTTGCTGTTCCATAAAAATAATAACCAAGTACTGGAATTAGTATGAAAATTATGTAGATCCACCTTTTAACAGATGCTCTAGTTCGGTGGAATTCATTGGATTATAATTACTGATTCTTTCAGTGTTCATAGGATAGCCTATTTAAATTAGCTTTAATTTTCCTCTCCTTTTATATAGTACTAATCACAGGTTTTTTTAATGCTTTTTTTCCACTTTCATAAAACTATAGAACAGAGAGCTAAGCTTTTGAAGTGCAGGGTGTTGTGCATACTATACTTTTTGTTTTGTTTTGTTTTTTGCAGTTTTCTTTCTGTTAAGACAAAGAAAATTGCTATCCACAGTTTGGAGCAAATGTATCTATTTAGTAATAGTAATAATAATAATAACAACAACAACAACAACAACAACAATAATAATAATAATAATAATAATAATAATAATAATAATAATATTGGAAGGGACCTTGGAGGTCATCTAGTCCAACCCCTTGCTCAGGCAGGAAACCCTATACCATTTCGGACAAATGGCTGTCCAGTCTCTTCTTAAAAATTTTCAGTGTTGGAGCACTCACCACTTCTGGAAGCAGGTTGTTCCACTGGTTAATTGTTCTGACTGTCAGGAAGTTTCTCTTTAGTTCTAGGTTGCTTCTCTCTTGATTATTCTATCCATTGCTTCTTGGCCTGACTTCAGGCGCTTTGGAAAATAGCTTGACTCCCTCTTTTTTGTGGCAGCCCCTGAGATATTGGAATATCCTGTCTTTCAAATTATGCATGCTCAGCTATTACAGGTGATCCTCGACTTACAATCGCAATTGACCCCAAAATTTCTGTTATTAAGGGAGTTTTGTGCCATTTTACGACCTTTTTTGCCAAAGTGCTTAAGGGAATCGCTGCTGTTAAGTTAGTGTATGGTTGTTAAGTGAATCTGGCTTTCCCGTTGACTTTGTTTGTCAGAAGGTGGCAAAAGATGATCACATGATCCGGGGACACTGCAACCCGTCATAAATACATGCCATTTGCCAAGCATCTGAATTTTGATCGTGTGACCGTGGGGATGCTGCAATAGCCATAAATGTGAAAAACTGTCATAAGTCACTTGTTTCAGTGTCATTGCAACTTTGAATGGTCACTTAATGAATGTTTGTAAGTCAAGGACTTCCTGTATAGAAATATATACGTGTGTGTTCTTTATTTTTATTTATTTATTAAATTAGTATACTGCCTATCTCACAGGAGGCCATTCTTCATATGTATCTGTACAATTGTCATGTTTTATTTCATGTAATTCACAGGAATACAATTGGAAAGACTACCAGCCAAGCAACATGACCATGTCTGAAATGCAGATGTTGGCTAGCATGAAAAGGCAGCAAAATGAAGAATTGGAATATAATGGACCTTCACATGGGTTGAGTGCCTCTCAGATCAACAATTGTAATATTAGCATCAGCACAAGCAGTGATGACACAAATACCTGGAATTCATGTCTCCCAGCAGTAAGTTTGAATTGTACCTCCCTTATTGTTTAAATAAGTGCCCTAGCTAAGCCTCTAGTTATATTGGACTCATTTAAAGGATTATCATTGGCATACATTTCTTTTCATTTCTGAAAAGATATAGATATCATAATTTCTAAGTGATGCACACTTGCGGTAGATTTACTGTATATGGATGAACACTCCAGCAAATGTTAGTAAGAAAGGAAAACAAAACAGTAACATCTAAGATGCTAAGCTCAATTGAAGATTTAATATGGCCCTATAATAGAAGACAAGATTCATTTTCTTTTCCATCCATTTCAGTGTAGTAGAGTTTTTAGTTTATAGATCATTTTATATTCTGTGTCTTTATCTGTTCAGTTTTTTTCTCTAGAAATCCATCAAATTTAATAGTCGGCTGTCATTTTCCTATGGTTGCTTTTTCTAAGGCTGAACCTCAGATTCCTATATAAAATTTTTCCAAAAGCCCATCTCAAGATTTGGCATAGACAGTGCAGGGCCTCAAATGGGAATTCATAGCTGAAATTGTAATGCTTCCAAAGTACCACAACTAACAATAATCCAGTAATCCAATAAAAACGAGAGAACCTTTATTTACAATAAACAATAAAAGCAAATTTACAAAACTACATACGTTGATAAAACAGTGCTCATGTTTGGTTCATCATTATCTGCTATCTTATTTTCACTGCTCCTACATAGAACTTGGCTGGTCTACATGTAATAGAATGTTTCAGGTTGGAAATTATAACTCATCCTTCTGCCTGTGTATTGGTGCAGAAAGGACATAGAGATCCTTGTTGAAGGTATTGTATAATAACACATGCTGTATTATTTCAGTTTCCCAGATTCACATAAGCAAGAACACTCAGCTTATAGAAATGTAGACTATCCAATAGATTTAAAGAACTCTTACCAAAAGTCTACATATCATTTATTTTAGTTCAGTTTTATGTTGGAAGCTGCATGTAAAGCTCTGAAATGCTGTTCCCCTGCTTGTATAAAAAGCTGGTTGTCTGGATTCTTTGGGGTTCTACCAAGACCTTTTCCTTGCGTGGCTGAACAAACAATGGTTAAAAAGTTTCCCTGTGGGGTTTATTCTTCTTCTCCAGGAGAGACTTTTTATTGTTTTTTCCTAAGATTCAATAATTCTTGGTGTAGAGCCTTTAGGGGTTATACATCAGCACCCTTCATTCCATCATATCAGGGCAGAATTACAGAACAAAAGAGTTGGAAGGGACCTTGGAAGTCTTCTGGTCCAACCCCCTACTCAAGCAGACCATATAACATTCTGGACAAATGGCTGTCCAATCTCTTCTTAAAAACCTCCAGTGTTGGAGCACCAAGAACTTCTGGAGGCAAGCCATTCCACTGATTAATTGTTGTCACTGACAGGGAATTTCTCCTTAATTCTCTCTTTGATAAGCTTCCATCTGTTACTTCTTGTCTTGCCCTCGGGTGTTTTGGAGAATAGGTAACTCTCTCTTCTCTATGGTACCTCTCAAATATTGGAATACTGCTATTGGAAATATTGTGGGCATTGGAAGGGCATTCTTTTTGTCCATTCTGCATCACTGATTGGGGGGAATATTCCCACAACTAAAGGGAAGTATTCACTTTCTAATGAAGATTCCAGACCTTCAAATCAGCAAAGTAACCCAATTACAGAACATGAACCAAGAATCTGATATGTATTGGCTGTTGTGGGTGAATCTGAAAGTAGGAATCCCTAGAATTTCTACTTAGTTGCTGTGTGAATGCTGAATTTGGGGAGAGAGAGGGATTATTTATTTTTATTAAATTTATATATTGTCCATCTCACTGTTGAAATTCTGAATAAATGGGATTTAGGAGAAAAATTAGTAAAACAGGTAACATGAATGGATGGTTGGAATTGAGATAAAAAAGTATAGAAAATTTGAACACTTGACGATTGTTTGCTTGGAGAAAATTCTGGGTTTTTTCTCACAAATAAGTATGTCTATTCTTAAGGTATATACAGCAAAGGAATTAATATCAGTCTAAAAGCATGATTGATTTCATTGCTTTTGGTTGAAATATTTAGAGAGTTGATGAAAGATATAAGAATATTCTGATAGTGTCCAGAGGGGTTCTTAGCAAAAAAAAATCTGTTAAAAGTAAAGATAAGAAGTGAGGAAAAATGAGAGAGATGATAGAATAATTGCAGGAAGAGAAAGTACAAGTCATGTATGAAAAAAATATTAAAAGATATATTAATCCTGCAGCAAAATGAATATAAACTAGATGTGATGTATGGAAGGTGCCTGGAACAGTAAAAAATAATTGTGACACAGAGTGCTTTAGGGACTTTGTGCAAGTATGCTAATCAGAAGAATGAAAAGGATGCATGGTTGTAAAGTAAAAGAAGTGAATGGTGAAAAATAGAAATAAGAGAATAATTACAAAAAAAATGAAGACGGGAGAAAGAACAGATTATTGTAACTATCTTTTAATTTTTTTTTCTTTCGTTCAATCCTGTCCAATTTGTGGACAAGTCCCTGTAGTATTCTTGGTAAGGTTTGTTCAGAAGTGGTTTGCCATTGCCTCCTTCCAGGAGATGAGAGCAAGTGATTAGCCAAGATCACTCATCTGGCTTCATGTCTAAGGCAGAGCTAGAACTCATGGTCTCCTGGTTTCTAGCCTGGTGCCTTAACCACTACACCAAACTGATTCAGCTTTTTCAATCATACCATGTTTATATTTGCTATAGAAACTGCAGCCTAACTAACATGTCTCTTGATTATTTATTCTGAAATACAATGGGTTGGTCATTAAAGAGCATTATCAAAAGTAGCTGGGCAACAATCTTTTCTAGTTGCTTCTCTATTTGAAAATCTGAACCTATGAAGAAATCTTTTTCATTAGAGTCCCCATCCCCCAGTTTATAGTTTGCAATCAATATTTTAAAAAACATGTTTTCAGACAATGAATTATTTCTCTTGAGGTAAACGTTCAGTAGATTTTGTCTCTTATTATTCTGATGTTTGTGGTATATACTTTTGGAGTGTTTTCCTGTAGGGGTTTTTTTTTGGGGGGGGGAATTATAAGTTCCATACAATGTCAAGTTGATATTCTTGGCAATTGATATTCTTGATCTGTTTTCAAGGCCATTGGAAAAAGCCCAACAGAAAGTCAGACTCCCTTAAGTTGTCCTGTCCAGCCTGTGTCAGCTGTTTGTCTAGTGAAAAAGTCATCTGCTGTCTAGTGAAAGTCATCTGCCACAGCTAAGGACTTGCTTGTCTCCCATTCTTCTTCTTCAGAGTAGCTAGGCTAAATGGTTGTTGTCAATTTATACAATAGGCTGTTTTCAGAGAATGGTGCTGCTGACTCAGAATTCTTCCAATTATGCATACAGAGGCAGGAAGAAGGCTTTTATTGCAGAATTGACCATGTTCACATTTCTTCTGGTTTTTACATGGAGTTTTGGTTATTTCTGTATTTTCTGTGATTGTTGGATTCTCCTGATTATTTTTAAAAAGCCAATTATATTTGATAAGCACAATAGGTGGTTCATCTGCCCCAAATACATGAAATTTTGATGTTCGAACCATTGATCCATTTAAAAAATATGTCAGGTTATCGTGAAACTTTAAACAACACATTTAAACTGAATATTGTAATACATTACCACTTCTCTAGCTATCAGTTAGAGAGCATGTGTTTATGTACACAGTCCTTCAGAGTGACATCTGTTATAAATTCAGAATTCCTTTATGTGTCTCAAGGTCTCCTAAACTTGGTTATGGTATATTTTCTCCTATATGAATATATATTTCAGGTTCTTCCATTGTGTTATTAGAACTTGAATCTGATATTAAACAAGTATTCACTTGGTCGGCTTTAGACTTTCAGAAGTATGCTACCATCTACAGCTCCAGGACTGATAAAAAAAATTAGGCCCTGCATAAGAACATTTCTGTGAGAGTGAAACAAAACAGCTGTGATCAACCTTATTTCTTCTTTCAATATTCTGCAGTGTTAATATTCTAAGACTTGTATTTTTTAAAAATGGATGCTTAATTTTAGTTTCCCTTGCTTTGAGGGAGAAAGGTGTATGTTATACATAACATTTCTTGGGAGACATGATACAATCTAGACTTGCTCCAATTAATCCTACTTTCTTCCAATCTTACTTGCTCATCAGAGCTTTGCTAATTTTTGCTTTGTAGATTATAGAAAACTTCTCACTAGGAAGCAATGCTTTTGTTCTAGATGTTGGCTGAATTTGAGGTAACCTTTTTATCCCTAGATCTAATCTATGGCAACAGCACCACCAGAAGGCTGTTCTTTGTCTTTAATTTACCTTTCTTGTGAGTTTTAAAATGTAGGCTTTGTACATTGTTGATATAAATATTCATATTCAATATAAACATTCATATTTATGTACAGAGTTACTTTAACCTTCCTCCTGTACTAGGCCTGGCTTCAACCATATGCTACTGTTGCATGATTATCCAATGTCCTTCTAGTTTTGTTGTAGCTTTAATAAAATTTGATAGAAGACGGGGATTTTCTCTCGAGCTACAAAGGTTCAGAATTCCTATAGGCAAGCAGGCAGGAACAGATGCTTACATACATTAATAACAACAATGCACTAAAGCTGTACTCTGTAGTCAAAGATAGTTTACCAAAAAATGAAATGTAGTAACTAGGTGTGTCAGGAAGTATCCCTGAAATATAAATTGTTTAGCAGCTGCTCCAAAAGATATAATAGCTTTGAGAGTTACATATTATTCTGCTTAACTGTCAAGAGTAATACACTTTTTTAAAGTGACTGTTTTGCATCAGATTCAACTCTGAAATCCTGGAATTTGCAAAGAAGGAATTGAGGAAAGAAGAGAATGAGGTAATCTTACACGTTCAGGAGCTAATCAATTTATTTCCAGCTGTGATGCAGCTAGAAGCATTTCCAGTCTGATTTTCCACATACAAAACAGTGATGTTCCAAACACATTGGAGATAAGCCATTTTCTTCAGGGTACAGGGTTTTTTTTAAATACTAAAATCTTGGTCAAAGACCAGTACATAATGAAACAAATAGCAAACTCTTTAAAAGGAAAAGAGTAAAAAACAAAAAAAAAGAATAATACAAAATTTTACTGTCACTATTTTACCATTGGAAACTATGTTTCTAGAACCTCCCCCCCTCCAAAACCCCCAGAATATTATTTGTCTGAAAGGAAAAAAGCTAAAAATCTAAGACAGAAGTGGATTAAATTAAATTAAATTAAAACAGAGTAATGTGACAGCTATTTGTATATGTATTTAACACTGTTCAAAAGTTAGGCCAGTTATATTAAGGGATGAAGATTGGTCAGCTTTAATCTTTGCTTACTAGCAGCATAAGAGAATATGGCAACATCCAGGAGCTTAAAGTCCCTTTGATCAAAAAGCAGCATTTATATACAGAGAGCAGAGAGCAGAGTGACAGAGAAAACTACTTTTATCAGCTATGGAGAAATAAAACAGATTCTAATATTGATATAAAATCAGCAATTCAGTAAAATGGGGGTAAAAGATTCTACGGTGCCTGTAGCACATAGAAATAATCAAGCAGCAAATGGAATTATTTTGTATCTGCCTTTCAAAATAGCTAAAGGAAGACTATTAAATCAGGCCAATGTTAAAGCCCTTGGATACTGTCATATTTTTTAAGTATTTCGCTGGTCTAAACATACAACTGGAAGCTCAGGAGTACATTTCTGGCACATGGTAGGAATTTTCTCACTGAGCTCTCCTCCTTCCTCATAGAGGTAGAGTGATGCTAAACCTCTATGGGGGAAATGCTATCTTTCCCCATTCACTGTTCTGTTAAATTTGGGACATGAAGCATAATGGCATGGCATTTAAATCCTGTTTTAACAAATGCACTCAGCACTACTTATTACAACTTGCTAAACAAATAAACAAAGCATGGAAGAGGTAAGTGCTGCTTGAGAGGTATTTTTATGCTCTTGTTGATCAGCTAGATTGTACTAACTGACACATGGGGAGTCTCCATATTTCTGAATCAGCTGTATGAAGGACAATTGAGCATTGAATTGGTTTGAAATATTTCTGAGGTTTTTGGAGAGTGAAATCTGGATGCAAGGAGACGCTTATCCATCACAAACTCGGGTCACAGTTTCATTCAACATAAAAATATATTATCTTATTGACGATGTGAATTTATATTTATACAGATGTGTGCCTTGTTATCCCTCCATATTTCCACCATCCCCTTTTTGAAAATTTTGGAACTAGGAAAGTATATATATTTTTTTACTTTTTGTAAGAATTAAACATACCTAATATACTTTGTAAATAGTTAATTATAGTTCAGTTTCATGTATATTGAAAGAGCACAAGCAAAATCATTGTTTGACTCCTTGTTTCTTGTATCTTTCACAGCCTGTTAATCAAGGAAGTCACTATCAGAAAGAAATGAACCCTCTTTCTCAGTCCAACCCAAGGTAAGTTGCTGTTTACAGCTCAGGCAAAGCCGATGTGTTGAGAATACGGGAAAAAACGGTCAGCATACGTTTTCTTTGGTGTGCTCTTAAAACTTATTGCCAGTTTCTCCATCTTAAAAAGAACTGTGTATTTCCAGCCTTGGCCACATATATACTCACGCATAAGTAGAAACCTGAGGGGTGGAAATGATTGCTGAGATGTGGCTCAGCAGTTGAGTGTATTTGGACTTGTGCATCCATTTTTAGCAACCACATACAACAGCAGTGTCCACAGACTGGAAACAAATAAATAGGAAAGCATTTATCATCGCAAGTCCTGGAACTCAGAAGTGGCTCTGTTGAACGTAGAACAGTGCTTTACTGTCTTTTTGTATTCCTATGTCTTGGAAGTAGTTTCAAGAATTCAGTAATGCTCCCTTAAAAAGAGGCAAAAATTGAAAAACATTGATTTTTCCCCCCCAGCTTATCTGAACTGAAGCTAATTTCTTAAGTAAAGAGATTGTTTTCTTAAGAAACACATGCTAAGGTGGAATATCTACCTCTGTGGGACACTCTCATAACTCAGGCTTTCTTTCATAGGGCAAGAGCATTTTCTAAATTACCTGAGAGACAGATCTTCAAATAATCTCTTGACAAAACAATTGTTATGACTATTAGAAAACTGTTTTTAAAAGCTGGCTTAAGGAAAACCTGGTTTAGGAACCAAAAGCACTTTGTACAAAGACTTAAGAATTAAGAACATTCTTATCCATTGTTTATCTTTCCTGCATTGCAGCAAAGCATCAAGAAGTTTTCCAAATTTGTGTTAAAATTTTCTACTATTTTTGCGTTTAATCTGATGAGAACTGGGGAGGATAAGCTTACAGTGCATTGCTGAAGACAGCAGCATGTTCAGTGGGCTTTGATACTGGCTGGACTTCAGTTTTTGTTGTGTCATAGTATAAGGCTTATTGGCAACTGCCTAAAACTAAAACTAATTCTTTCCAAGAATGATTCTTATAGCATCTGTTTAGCAATAATATTAACAAGATAAGAGTGGACTTATGAGAAGTCCAGCAACTGAACTATTTTCTGTATCCCTGGGTAGAAGAAGGTAAACATACCTTGATTTTTTTAAGAGCCTTCCTGTGATTGACCCATGTCATCCTTCCATTTCAATCACAGGATGCATACCAGCAGCTTTCCATACATAATTAAATCAAACTTCCCTTTCTGTATTAGCAATTTAGATATATTCCATCTGTTTTCCATACTCTGTACTTTAGGCAATAAAAACTGTGAAGTTTATAAAAGTTCTACTTTTCATTTCACTTCTCCTTGAGGGTCCACCTCTTTGTTTCCTGTTCCATGGTATATTTTTCTTTCCCTGAAGTCTCAAATCCTTTTTTTGTTCTGTCAAGTTCTTAAATCTTTCTAAATTTCCCTAGTGCAGAATAGCTTCTAAATCTGCTTATGGACATTCTTATTCATTAGCATTGCTTCTTCCTATGGATCAGGTGCTCCACTGCCTCTTCCATGCAGAATTAGAAAGCTTTAAGAGATATGAGCAGCTTCACAGTCACCTGCTTTATTGGAGAAAACAGATAACCGGCTCTCTCCAAAACGGGTTGGACATTTTTATTGGTATAGTACCTAATCCATCCAGGATTGGAGTAGATTCCACCCAGACAAGCAGGGTTGCATTGCCTAGTTTATTATGCAGAAGTGCCCACAAATAAACACATGTAGCTGAGCTAGCCAAGGTCTACATTTTGACAGCTGATGTAATCATTTTTCTCTCCATAGAAAGAGCAATTGTTAGTTGATTTTCCTACCAGCAGGGAATCCATCAATCACTTTTCCTAAGTTGTCCCACTTTATATGTGAGTGGACAGCACCAGTTGTTAGCCTCATTACTGAAGAACAATATGACTTACCAATGCAGGCAGTGCAAAACATATCAGCACTCATTTCTGCCACATCAGATGGACTGGAGGAAAACACATTGACACTGCTATGGGGAAAAACCCCAAAACACATCTGTAGTCACTGCAAGTGTTCCTTATTGTCCAGAAGTAAGTAAAGCAGCCAAAAGAATCTTATCCTTGTCTACTCCCTACTCAGTGTTGATCCATTTACTCTCACCCCTGCTTTGTTTTATTATATACCTTTCTTAATGCAAACAGTAATCAACATTCAATTTCATACTCATAAAAATATTTCATCATTCAAGCTAATTAATTGTAGGCTTTATCTAAAATAATAACCATTCTTACGTTGTTGGGAAACACTCAGCCAGGGAGGGAAGAGGAATAACAGAATAACAGAGATGGAAGGGACTTTGAAGGTCTTCTTGCACAGCCATAAGAGGTCCAGGACTGACCCCCACCACAAGCTCCAAAGAGCCTTATCAATCTGCTCCAAGAAAAGGCAAGCAGTCTTGGGATATTCCTGTATAATAGGCAGAATATAATAAGGTAGTTAGCTTGAACTCTACATGAACACATCTAGTTCCCTGCACCTGACATATATCCACTTCCATTCATTGTCTTGGGTAACAATTTCTAATAATTTGTTATGTAAGACTTTTCCAGAAGTCATCCTACTTTCATTTCTTTTCTTTTCTTCCATGCCAAAGTTTCCATTTTTTCCATACGTGTTTTCTCCTACAATCCATGGTCATTTTTTCCCAAATCCATTCTCCCAAAAGCCATCACAGTGCTAACTGCATTAACAGAGGGATAGAATCAAGATCACGTGAAGTGTTAATACCACTTTACAATGCCTTGGTAAGGCCACACTTGGAATACTGCATCCAGTTTTGGTCACCACGATGTAAAAAAGATGTTGAGACTCTAGAAAGAGTACAGAGAAGAGCAACAAAGATGATTAGGGGACTGGAGGCTAAAGCATATAAGGAACGGTTGCTGGAATTGGGTATGTCTAGTCTAATGAAGAGAAGGACGAGGGGGGACATGATAGCAGTGTTCCAATTTCTCAGGGGTTGCCACATAGAAGAAGAGGGAGTCAAGCTATTCACAAAAGCGCCTGAAGGCAGGACAAGAAGCAACGGATGGAAACTAACCAAAGAGAGAAGCAACCTAGAACTAAGGAGAAATTTCCTGACAGTTAGAACAATTAATCAGTGGAACACCCTGCCTCCAGAAGCTGTGAATGCTCCAACACTGGAAGTTTTTAAGATGAGACTGGACAGGTAAGATAGCTTTTGGGAATTTAGTATAACTATATGAATTAGCAGGAGACATTAAAACAACTCAATCATTGTGAAATATGCCTATTTAGAAAAAAAGAGGCATAAGGAAAGGATTTCCAACTTTGGAAGCAACAACGGAGATTTTTCAATAATATTTAACATTAGCGTTGCATTCAAAAACTACACAATTTAATAGTAGCCACTTTTTATTTCCAGTGATATCCAAAGCAAAGTTACAAACATGGGCTGAACAGTGCCTTTCTTTAAAGAAAAAGCCTTACAATATGTACTATAAATCAGTGATTCCCCCAACCTTTTGGGCACCAGGGACTGTTTCCATGGACTGGGGGGGGGGGGAGGAGTGTGCAACCTGGATCTTCTGCACACTCAATTTACAGTAGGGTCCATGGTCCTATGACAGTCTAATCAGTCTAATGCCTGATGATCTGAGGTGGAGCTGAAACAGTGGTGCTAGTGCTGGGGAGCAGCTGCAAATACAAATGAAGCATCACTCGCTCACTTGCCCACCACTCACTTCCAGCTGTGCAGCCCGATTCTTAATTGGCCACAGACCGGGACTGGTCCTCGGCCCAGGGGTTGAACCCCCTGCTATCAGTGAATTGACCAGATATACAAAGAACACTGGAAGAGTAATCGGGTATAGTTTAAAGCTTGGGAAAGATGCAGTGCCTCCCATTTCCTTTCCTAAATGGAAAGGAATTTAATCCATAGAAAAATAATTGTCAGAGAACATACACCTAATCATAATTAAAGCAGACGTAACTCCTTTGGCTGTTACCTTTGTTTCTGCTTGCTCATCTTATAAAGTCAGTACATTATTGAAGGTAGAAGATGCATAGGAAAATTTGATTTAAATTGCCCAACCATGAAGTTAACTTGGGCTTTCCTTCTAATTTTGCAGAATTTATCTCACTTTGTTGCTGTGCACATAATTAGTGCGCATTGGTCAAATGAAATAGGTTAACATAATGGTTTCTACCTTGCCAGTCGTAGCTTTTATGCTATCCCATTCTCTTTCTTAAGAAGGCTCTGTGCAGCTTGAAGTTCGTGAAGAAACCAGGAGGCTTTTGATTGGGAAAATGCTGGAAAGGCTGGCATACAAATGGCTGGAAAGTAATAGGCTCAGGTGACACAATATATTAGGTGGGCTCTAGTGATGTCTTAGTGGAAATAGGAAATGAGTCATTATAAGTGAACTTGGGCACAGGTAAAAGTTTGAACAATTGTATTGCTTTTAATTTACAAAGCAGCAATGGAGATCTGTCCTCTCCATTGTGCAATCCAACAGAGGACATGGTGAACTTTATACGCAGTAAAACATAGGGCAGTGTTTCTCAACCTTGCTGGCTGTGGAATTCTGGGAGTTGAAGTCCACATGCCTTAAAATTGGCAAGGTTGAGAAACACTGATATAGGGCTCTTTAAATTGTAGGCCTTGTCAGATTATTGAGTAAATTGTGGCTGTAGATTATATATGGAAGGAAAGACAAGCCATCTCAGGATGCTTAATGAAACAAAATGGGAAAATAATTAAATAATTAAATAATAGCTGAAATGAAAAAAGAAGGAAAGGAAGAATGGAAAAACAAAATGAGAGAGAGAGAAAGAAAGAGAGAGAGAGATTTTCATCCATGAAATAGAACATCTGAAAAAATAGATCAGTTGCTACCAAAATGACCTCCAGGCTCTTGACATGTACTAAATCATTGAAAAAAAATCAAGGAAACTGCTTCCCAAGGCTCCAGTAGAGAAGAGAAGAGACACAACAATTCAGACAGTTTGCTGGT